CCTCCCACCCACCCCCCCCCGCAAAAAAGGTGGAATCTAGTGGTTGCCCCGTTAGGCCTTGCTGACATCTTTTACAAGGACTGTTCCCACCAGAGTGACAACTGCTCCTCCAGCCTATGGAGGCAAACCTGGACGGTGTTCGAGACTGATCTACAGAGCTGCGCTGTGCTATGGCTTTGCCTGGGCCAAACACAAGTGGGACAGGAAGACTTGATTTGTAAGGGAAGCTGGGAAGAAGCAGAGCAGCCCAGGCTTGCTCTGCACAATTCATTTTAAAAGCAATTTTTAGGTAATAAACCTTTTCTAAAAATATTAAAATGTAATTTGAAAATGTATTTTCATTAAGAAACACAACTAACTTGAAATCTAAACTAGTTAAAAAAAAGCAAAGCTGTTTCTTTTGTGTTCCTCTATCACAATGGTTTTCAGTCAGTGAGCCACTAAATTCAGAAAAGATATGGACAGATGCCTTGAATCTAAAAAAAAAAAAAGTTGAAAACCACTGGTATAAATTAGACTTACTGAATTCGATATGAAGGCCTGAAATGGGAGAGAAAGCAACCAAGGAAGAGGACAGTTCTCCGGACAGCAAAAAAAGATATTTATATTCTCACAATAAGGCTGCAATGCAACAAAGCACTTAAGCACACCCTTATCCTCACACACAAACTGAAGCGCTTTGCTGGACTAGGGCCTAAAAGTAAGGCAATCTATAAAATATGCAAACAAACAGAAAAAATTGTACGTGTGCGTGCTGTTGACTGTCAGCACCTGCACACAATATTCCTTTCCTACTTGCAAACGGATACCTAGTTTTCATTCTCAGTTGCCTTGAAAAGAAAAACTGATGACTTTTTCAGTCCTACTTAGAATACTATAGGCACGTCTAGATGAGATGTTTGCTGCACAGTAAACTAATTAGCTGTGCAGTAAATGTTGTGCATCTACATGTACACCCCTATTAGCCTGGAGTAAGCTAATTCACTCTGCAGCAAGATAGTACTTGTTTGTTTGTTTTTTACTCTGCAGCAGCATACATGTGGACACTGCCCCAGCTAGCTGGGGCACTGAAACACTCTTCTGTCCCAGCCAACCCCCTTCACAGCACCTGGAGTCTGGGGGGGCATCCCCAGGCCTGACCCAGGGCCTCCTGCCAGCAAGGGCTGCTCTGACTCAGCTCAGCATGCTGTAGCCTCAGGCTCATGTGCAAATGGCATGCCCAGAGCAATAAACTCTGGACCAATAACTTCTGGAGTTTATTGCTTCACATTAGTATGCAGATACTACCAGAAATATATTGATTTCCTTTTCCCAGCTACTCTGAATGTACAATAGCAGGTACTCTACCTTTCAGAAAATAAATTACATAGTTAAATGTGGGGGTAACCC